TTTCGTCTACCTTATGGATATTAAATGTCCTGCACTTGCGTTTGTTTTAGAAGTGATATAAAAAATACTCCTACCATGGTTGATATTAGCGCTTTGTATTCATAGCAGTTTTTTTTTATTCCCGTGAAGGATGCAATCAAAAAATGTTCTGTGACTTTTTTGTTTCGCAGATTTCATCTGTCAATGGTAGCAGACATCATTCAAATAGGCTGATTGAACTTCGCAGTTGTGTTCGGCTTATAACAGAAGCCAGTCTGATAGATATAAGAGGAAATTCTATGCATAAGGATTTATTATTTAACATATATCGCTATCAGTGCTGGATTTCACAAGGTATCATTTGACACAAAAACAACCTTAGTCAAATTTTACACGCAGGCGTAATTTTCAAAGTAGAAGCAATGCCATCATTCCACAGCCATTCTTTACTCTTCGGAGAGTATCATTAGAATGACGATGAATTCAATATAACTATTTAATGAACAAAAGAGAATTTGAATTATACTGCTGTTAATAATCGTTGGTCGTTGGCCAAATCATTGCTGACACTCTATAGATTATGAGAAAAGCACATTCTTTACGCACAATACCAATGCACTTGTGCATAAACACAGACTACATAAAATTGGCATAGCTACTCCAAGAAGAGCCGATTCATACGTAATTATAATGACAATATAAATAGCAAAATCGTATGTTTTCAATGATGATCTATCTTGTAGCAATTCACTTGCACATACAACTGCAGTGATTACAAGAATAGGACTTTCTAGTGCACTTAACAACGATAAAATCCCTTCTCATAGTGTAAGCAAATTATTTTCGTTATTATTTTCAGTCATACGACAACATTGTTTGGCTAATTTATCTATACTCGATAAATCGAAAAGTGTTGAGAATATAATTAAAAGTTCATAGCAAGTTCCACGAAATGGTAAATTAGTATCAAGAAATAAGAAGAGTATCTGTGTTTCAAATAATAAACCATATAAGACTACGCGTGCTGGTAATGCACAACGGTTTTTTGCGAATTCTTCACAATATTCGTTTTCTTCACCGCAGAGGCCGATTATACTAATTACGTGAAAAATAATTTCGAAAGCAGAAAATACAATAACAACAACGAGTAAACTAGTTGCATTTGACAACACTGTTAAATATGATACTAATTCACCAATCTCAATGGCTATACTAAATAAAACCATTGGTATTGCATGAACACAAAGTGGTTTAAATACCAGTGCGCCGCCGGCAGCGAATAAAATACAGAAGAATCTTTACTGTTCAGTTTTATCCAAATCGTTTTCACGAGCAATAAAATAAACGTCAATTTGTTCAGCGAGATTCAACACATCAACTAAAATTAACATGATATGATCGATATTTTTTCTGTTGCTATGAAAATCCATTTTGAAGATTTTATTCAAAATAGAATTTCTCTAGAAGAAAAAATTATTTATAAAAATCCTCCTTAATCAAATCAATAGTAAAAGATCATAGAGGCCAAGTATAGTTACCTAATCAATCGATCAGTAAACGGCTTTCTCGGGTGTTGAAATCCAATAGATTCACTTAACAAAGATTTTACTTGCTGATGTTCTTATGGAATAGACATGGAAATTATTTGAGGAAAACTTATTCCGTAGATTATAGAGTCAGTAGGTAAACTATTATTACTTTCACTTTCAATCAGGAGTCAGCTAAAAAATTTACTACTGTAAGCGATACCGTGATGAACTTGATTATTGTAAAAATTCAGATATTCTTCACAGATGAGTAAAGAGACGATATCGAGAAAAACAGAGTTTATCTAATTTAGAAAAAGAAATATTTCTTCATATTTCTTCCTTTATTTTTGATTATTTATGGATTCTCAAAGAATTTCAAGCACAACGTTGATTTTTTTTCTTGTGTTCTGTGCCAATCCAATGACGTTTGTGGCGAACGAATTGAATAGGCAATGACGAAAACTGGTGAAAGTGTAATAGAGTTGTTGTTTAGTTACTGAGCAGAAATAAATACGTCAGAGTTATTTTGTTTACATGCTGTTGATGGTTACATAAGAGAAATTCAAATTCAAATAAAATGAATCATTGTTCAGAAGATTTAAAGTCGTCACTGTTCGCGTGAGGTAGTCAAATAAATGTGTTTGTGCTTCCTTATTGTTGGCTGTTGAAATCTTACTTTGTATAACCAAAAATCGGTTAGGATAAGAATAAATTTAGCAACTTTTTTATCAGTTTATACCTATATTTGAAGTTAGTGACGTGTGATTTCTAATCACAGAATATGTTCAATTTTTGTGAGAAGAAAGATTTTTCGGCAAAGTGAACTACTAAACAAAACATTAGTTGAATAGATTCGTGTTGATTTAGATACAAATTCAAAGTCCAAGTGCACGCGAAAAATCGGGAATTTAACCAAAATTTAGCTATGAAGATTTGCCTTGGTTGTATCTAGCTCTCATCGATACATAATTTTAAGCTGACATTTTATTTGAAGTTTAACTCTTGTTTTCGGGTTATTGTTAAATGGTTCACGAAAATTTAGAAATAATCCACCGGATTTTCTCTTGCAAGTGGATATTCACTTGTCTGACTTTAATTTATCTGCTATAAATGAGGATTGTCATCGGAGCTATCTTCTTCTATTCAATGTTGGTGCGAAAAAGTCAGCCTGAAGAACGAGAAACATGTTATTTTTTTATTTGTTAGCCTATACAGAATTAAAAGCGAAAGAAAGAAACAAGAAAAATGATTTTTTTTTGGGTAACTAAACGACATTGTTGAGAATGACATTTCATTTTTTTTTACTAATGTGAGCCCCGAAAAATATTTGCCCTTATTTTGATAATCTACAACTGATCAAATCTTTCATGCGTATTTTTCGATGTGATATTTAATCGAAAAATATTCATTAAAATGAATTCCAAATTTCGATTGATCAATTTTTGAAAAAAAAAGAATTATATTGCTTCTCACTGCTCATATTTTTTCTATTTTAATTTGTTTCTATCCAATTTAATTATATTTGTAAATGAAATTTGCACAATACATTATTGTTTGTTGTGAAGCATTTTATTGTGACACAAACAAGAGATCTAGCGCTGTAAAAATGAGCAAACTGCAATTTTCGATCATAAAAATTCTCGAGTGAATACTGGAGGATGTACTAACAACTTAGACAAAATAACAACGGCAATTAATATGTATAATAATCAGTTGAGGTAATTCATGCTTTTTTTTACCTTAAATTCGACTAGCAGCAGTATTTCAGCAATGTTCTGATGATGTGTAAACGTACTGGAAAGAAAGTGTTTGTGAAAATTTGATGAATAAGACAAAAAAATAAAAATAAAATTTGATTTTACTTTTCCAAGCGAAAACTTGTGGTGCAGTCTCTTGTGAGACTAAAATGTGAACTTTACACCTTTGGTTATGTGGTATAATTTATTTCATGACTACTATGCAATAATGATAGTCTTTAGTAAGTGCTCTTTTTTAAATTGAATACATAGAGCTTCTTAGTAGAGTACAGCAATGATTAAATATTAAGATAATATATTTTCTCACAAAATTAAAAATGATTTGATTTTTAATATTTTTGCAAACGAGATATTTGTTATTTGACTTGATTTACCATAATAATTTATACAGTTGTCAAAATATTGTTAATTTTACACTGTAGCGCAATTTTTCGTTCTTATTACTCTATGGCATTTTCCTCGTTCTTTTATTGCGATCAAAACATATTAATAGCCATGATTTCTAGGTCCAAGATCGTCTGATATGTAATTCAACGATAATGAATTAATCAAATATAGTTAATTCCTTTCGCGATCATTTTCGGAATAAATACAGATTCAGAATTATTCTTACAATATGTTTTAATAAAAGCTTTGCTTTGACTAGGCAAAGATAAACAAGTAAAATATTCAGACTGAAAATATATTATTTTATTGTTCATTTTATGTAATCACGTGAAAAATGTCGTCAATGCCGAGTGATGCCACAACTTGTTTAGTTTATCCCCTATTTATAATAGCAGTACTAAGGCTGGAACCGATCCGGACAGGACCGGTTAAGAAATTCAACCGGGCCGGTAAATACCGGAAAATCGCCGGTTGAAATTTTAAAATAACTATCTTCATTTAGCTCTATTTTTGTTAAAAAGATGTTTTATCAGTAT